TTTAACACTTGGCAGGACCCAGCTTGACTCCTGCTGAGCAGCACTTGGAAATAAAGAGCTTTTAAAGCCTCTCAATGGGAGATGAGGGAAGCGGGTGGTGCGGGATTCGGGGCTGGGGTGGCCTGACGTGTGTGCTGGGAGGGAAAGGGATGTTAATTCACACCATTCCCAATAAACAGCCGTGCCAGGGAGTGCTGGATAAAGGCTGTCTCTTCTGAAGAGGGGGGTTTCACCACTTAGTAACTTTGTCCTCAAACAAACCCTTCCTGGACCAGGCAGCATCTCCCGGCTGTCCTTAGGGATGCCTGGGTATGGAATGGGCCACGTGGGTGTGCCCAGGGGCTACAGGTGACCCTCTCCCAGCACAGCAGGCCCTTCTCCAAGCTGGGGGTCTGCACAGCACTGCCTGTGCTCAAGCTGCAGTGCCTCTGCCAGGCAGCCCCTCTGTTAGCAGGTGTCCCCCCCACGAGCACCCCAAAAAGCACATCCTTGACCTGGGACTAGCTCAGTTGCTTAGAACCTGGTGCTAAAAATGCTAAGGTAGTGGTTCAATCCCTGCATGGGCCATTAATGACCCTCATGGGGTCCCTTCAGAGTGTTCTGTGATCCTCTCTCCCACCCAGCTCCTCGCGGGCAGTGATGGGGGTTGTGATGTCTCTGCCTCTCCCCTTGAAAAATCAAAATTAAAGCAAGGTTTGCATGCAGAACTTGGTGTCTGGAAGGACAGAGCGGCCTCAAAGGGGACACACAGCGAAGCAAAATCAACCCAAGGGAGGTGAAGCTTCTCTGTGCTGTCACACAGCTCCTGCTCTCCCACCGAGGAGCCCAAGGACTCTGGCTCCTCCATCCCTGGCACCTCTGCCTTCCCAAAGCCAAACTGCTGCCCTGGGCACTGCTCACACGGACTGCTGGACTCCCCTGGAAACCCCACTCCCCTCTCCAAACACGGCAGCCAGGCTGGAACCCCCAGCCCAAGAGGATTTTCCAGACCAAGGCACCGAGTCAGGGATTCCATGCCTTCAGCAGCCTCCCTCCTCCCGGGCTCCCAGGAGAACCACGGCATTCCATGTGCTCCCAGGACGCTGGGAACAGCCCCCCGGCTGGAGAAGGGACAATGCTGGGCACAAAGCTCCCCGAGTGTGTCCCCTGAGCTCTCCCTGCGCTGCCCCTGCAGCCCCAGCCCCGCGGCTGCACAGCCCGGAGTGCCTTGGGCTGCAGCCCCGGCTCCTCCCGCAGGCTCACACTGCCACCTGCCGCCCTTCCCAACCCGTTCCCGCTGCAAGGAACTCCATCCGAGCGGGAAGAAACTCCTTCCGAGGAGAACAGAGCGGTGGGATGTCCACAGCACCTCCACTGACCCAGGGATGGGCTGCCCAGAGCATCCCCACTGACCCACACAGAGGGGATGATGAGGAAGGGAAGCCTTTCCCCTTGCTGGGGGACAAACAGACCCTTCAAACACTCCAACCCACCCTAAACTTTTATTACCCTGTGACCACTGTTTCCCTGAGACAGCATCAACTCCCTCCACCAGAGAAAGAGCCTTGCCTGGCTACTGGGGATGCTGGGAGTGACTGGTCCAAGCCTTCAGCCTCTCTGGGTGCTGACTGAGCTGCAAGACACCCCTTCTGCCAACTTTCTCCCAAAAATACACCCCACTTGCTCTGCAAGCTGATGTCAGCCTGTCCATCTGCCAGGGGGCCGTGAGGATCAGCTGGCACTGCAGAGTTGTTCCTCAGGGATGTGGGAACGTGGGGAGGTGGAAAAAGGGAAAAAAAAACCCAGTAGAAAACAACGATGAGGCAAACCTGTGGCACATCTCTGGAGCAAACACCCAGCGGGCTAAAATTAGCCCTGTGTCCCTGGCACTCTGGATACATTCCCACCGGGAAGGCAGCTGTCACCAGAGAGCTTCCAGACAGTGAGGGACATCCATCAGCAGCGGGGTGGGGTGTGGCTCAGAGTGGGAAAAGCAGCACCTCCTGCAGAGCCCTAAAATCACATCAGCAAAGCCCAAGTGGTGAGAAAACACAGGAGGCCAGAAAGGTGGAGAGCAGCAGGCAGAGGCACCTCACTTAAACACCCCTGTTCCTCCCCCCTGGGACAGCACTCCAGGAGAAGAGGAGCAGCAGTGGGGGGACACAAGAATGACCAGCACTGAGATGTCCCCAGCAGCAACATCCTGAGACGTCCTGAGACCATCCTGAGATGTCCCAGCAGCAGCATCCCTTCCCCAGGCTGCAGGCAGGGGCAGTGCTGGCAGCAATCCCGGTGGATTCATCCAGCCAGGGCTGCTCCAGGGAGCAGAACCCGATTGCCAGGTCACCTCTGGGCCTCCTCCCCCCGGCCAGGGAGCAGCAGGTTTGCTCCTGGAGCAGCAGGACACCTCACCCTGTTTCAGAACTCTGAGTTACATCTCTCTGTGCCTCTCCCACGTATCAGTTTGACCACAGGAGAGTCCAAAATGGCCAAAAATCACCTGCCCCCCCTCAGGTGGTGTGACTCTGGGACAGTCAGCACCGGTACCAGGCAGGACACAGCACTGCCTGGGGGTGGCTCTGAGACAGGGGCTGTGTCCAACACCCACCATGGCCAAGACCATCCCCCCCAAACCCTGCTCTGAGCCGTGTCCCCTCTGCAGTGGCCAGGGAGGACACACAGCCCATGGCCCAGCTCAGACCCCCAGGGCAGGGGAGCAAAGCCCCCCTGAGCCTCTCAGGGTTGGTGAGAAGAGTCAAAACTCGAGCACATCACTAGAGGGGAAAACACACCCAGCAAAAACCTGTGCTGCCAGAATTCCTCAGGAGCAGGGCAGCTGCTCCAGCTGGATCGGGAAGAGCCTGTGGGAAGGAGCAGAAAGGGAAGGGACACCCTGTGCTCTGACCAACAAACCTGGATGGAGACACAGCAAGGGGAGAGGGCATTCCCAGGAGCCCAGAGCCTTTTCCTCCTGCCCACCAAAAGCAGGTGGCACCAGTTATTGTACTGCCAGCATCCCATCGGTGGAGCTGCTGGCAGCAGCTGGCACCCAGGAGGGCAGGAGAACACTCTCCCATCAGGAAAACAGGCAGGAGTTCCTCTCTGCCTCTCAGGCCCGGGAAGCATTAGCCGGCAGGGGATGCTGTTGGCTTGGATTGCTTCCTTCTTCTCCCGCCGGGCTCCGGGGGCCAGGCCGGGAGCTCGTGGCTCTCAATGGAAGTTTTATGTCCCTCTGTCCCCTCTCCGGCGTTGCTGCAGGAGGGCACGTTTCCAAGAGAACCCCTCTAGTCTATGGATTATACAGAACGAGGGGCACGGAGCAGGGAGGAAATCCAGCAGCAGCAGCAGCTTTAAATCAGCTCCCCAGCCACCCCTGGGGTGACTCCCTTCTCCTCGGCTCAAAAGGTTTGGCACAGCCAGCACAACGCCCAGACCGAGGGCAGCTGAGCTCTCACAGCTCCAAACCACCCCACATCACCCCAAAAAGCTGCTTATCCGGCTACAAATGTGGGCCAGCAGCGAACACAAAGGTCCCGAGGTGAGCAGAGGGGCTCAAGAGTGGGCAGAGGAGCAGCCACGAAGTGAAAACCAGAGCAGGTTTTGCCACTTCTACGCCCATTCCTGTCTCTAAGCAGAGGGTGGCAGCCTGTCCATGGCAAACACAAACCTGGGACCTCTTGCCACAGCAGGGTGGCTGCCCAGGGATGCTGGAGAGGGGCAGGAACACCGGGAGGCACTGCCCTTGTCCCATCCTCCACAAAGGTTCATGTGTGCAGGGGAAGGGGGTGGGACGAACTGCCGGCCCCAAACACATGCCAAGAGCCTTCCTTCCACGCCCTCTGTATCCACAGCCACCAAACAAAGGAGCTGGCTGCCAGGCTCCCGGGATGGCCGGGATTCCCAGCGCCGGGAATGGCAGGGGAGTGGGCACCCGGCCAGGCTGCAGCCACACACACCCTCCCCCAGCCCTGAGGGGCTGCTCCCACCAGCCAGGGCACACACAGGGGGTGTTCTAATGATGGGATTCACTGTTCAGGACAACTGTCAGTGCTGGGGACGAGATGAGCCACCACTGACACAGGGCAGGGACCAGAGGAGCAGGGACAGGAGGAACAGGGTCACCCCAGGGGCTTTGATCCGTGCCCACACTCAGAATCATAGAGTAGTTTGGGTTGGAAGGGACCTTTTAAACATCATCTCTCTCCAACTCCCACCTTCCACTAGCCCAGGTTGCTCCAAGCTCCATCCAACCTGGCTTTGGACACTTCCAGGGATGGGGCAGCCACAGCTTCTCTGGGCAACCCGTGCCAGCATTTTACCCCCCTCGTTGTGAAAAACTTCTTCCTTATATCCAGTCTAAATCCACCCTCCATCAGTTTAAAACCATCACCCCTCGTCCTGCCCGACTTCACTCGCTTTTGCCAGGAGATTCCCAGAGGAATTGCCTGCGGGGTGTTTGCCCCACGCCTGCAGCTTCCCAGCTCAGCCAGGGTGAGGACTGAGGACACACAGCCCCTCACAAACCCCCCCAGGCTGGGTCAGCAGCCCAGCCTGCCCGTTCCACCCCCGGGAGGAGCTCGGGGTGCTCTCCCCCCACCCTCCCCAGGACGCTGGTGAAGGTGAGAGGCTGAGGATGGAGTCAGAGATGAGACAAGCACTAGGTGAGGTGTCCTTAGATCACAGTTTCACACCCACAGCGCTCCAGAGGCTTTGATGCCACAGCAGCTGCCACTTGAGGAACCAAAAACGAGCCCGGCCCAGCTTCAGGCTGGGCCAGCTGGAGGCAGAGGGGAAGGGAGCTCCTCAAACTGTGATCTAAAAGCAATAGCTCCCTCGGAGGGGGGAGCACACACCCACGGGGGTGGGTGTGCTCTGCCCAGCTCCAGGAGGTCCCTATTGCTCCAGCACATCCCGGAGGGATGGGAGGATGGCACGGACTAACCAGCGACTCTGATGGTGGATGGAAAAATAAATGGGAATTTTTTTAAATTTTTTTTTTTGCATGACACGCCACCACTTACCAGCAAGAAGCTTCCTATGTTCTTTAGAAAGCAGGGGAGGAGAAAAAGGAGAGAACAAAACAGTTAGAAGCAAGAAAACAGGCAGCTGACCCCAAAGCTTTCCTCCTCCCCGAGCCCCCTCCACCAGAGCTTTGCTACCAGCACCACCTGGAGCACTTCCATCCTTCTCTTCCAGCCCTTTCCAGGCAACATCAGGCACCAGCTCCCAAATCACCCCAGGAGATCATGGCTGGGCTCCTGGCACCTGCATCCCTAGGCAGGAGTTCTTTATCCCTTTAGCCCAGCAATCCAACATCTCACAGGGAAGATGCAGGAGAAAACCAACAGCTCCCATGTGGAAGACACGGGTATTTTTTCCACCTGTGGCAGGACCCAAGAGGTGGCCCAGGACCAAACTGTGCCCCTGGAGACCCACCCCAGTGCAGGTCTGGCTGTGAAGGGCCGGGGGCAGAGGGACAGCATGACTGGCACTGCCACCCTCGCTTGCAACACAGGAACACACTGGATTTACCCAGTAAACCCCAATTCTTCCCCTATTAACCCTCATTTAGGGGCATCACTTGCCCCCTGTGAGTTTATTCCCATCCCCACCTTCTAAGCACATCGATCTAAACATCTTTTAACAGCACAATGAGCTCCCAAATCTCCAGAGAGCCAGAAAACATCCATATCCTGATGTCACCGGTGACATCCCACACTGCAAGAGCAGAATGAGGGACAAACGGAACCAGAACCCCAAATGTGTGCAAAGCACGACACAAACCCCACCAGGAACACCTCAGCACTGACTGCTGGCTTTCAGCCACACGAGACAAGCGTGCTGGATTTGATCCTCAGAGGATTTGATCCACGAGGAGCCAACACTCTTCCCTCACAAGGATGGCTCCAGGAGACCCTGGGGAACCTCACAGCACAGCCAAAGGCTCAGAACTCACATTAACTGTTACATTTCATGGATTTTTGTGCCAATAGGTGTTTTCCTGAAACCAAACAAATTGGGAAGAGTGGAGGAGCTCAGCCTGGAGCTCTCCACAGCTCACCAAGGATCGGATATTTCCCACTCAACCCTTTCCCATCACAGCTTTGATCCCTCCTGTCCAAAGGCATCACCTGGGCTGGAATTACTTTGGGAGCTGAGGAAAGCAGAGCACCAGATGAAACAAAGTCCCCCAGCAGATGAAACAAGGCTCCCAACAGACGTGATGAAAGAGGAGGTGAAGGGTTAAGCAGCTGAGCATTTTAATAGTCACCATTGAGCACAGATTATTTATCTGCAAGTAACGTAGGGCAGGAGGGAAGCCCTGTAACCATTGTGGAATTCATTCTGGATGCCTATGGAAATAGGAGCTGTCACACAGCCAGGTCCTCATCCCACCAGGACATGGGGATCTCCCAGTGTGAAATCCAACTCTTAACCCCTCTCTTCTATTCATAGAATCACAGAATGGTTTGGGTTGGAAGGGACCTTAAAGTTCATCTCGTTCCAACCCCCTGCCATGGGCAGGGACACCTTCCACTAGCCCAGGTTGCTCCAAGATTCATCCAACCTGGCTTTGGACACTTCCAGGGATGGAGCAGCCACAGCTTCTCTGGGCAACCTGTGCCAGGGCCTCCCCAGCAAACCTAAATTTCCCCCCATCCAGTTGGAATCCCCTCCTCCCTTGTCCTATCCATACAGTTCCTGATGGAGAGCCACTCCCTCTGCCCAGACTGCTCTGCCTGCTCCCAGCACCACACCACAGCTACTCCACAGCTACAAGCAGGTGGAATTTGGAGTATGTGGTGCTTCCCAGGCTGCTCAGAGAGGACAGACACAGCCCTGGGGGCAGCGGGGCCAGGCAGGGTGGGGACACAAGGGACAGAAGTGGGCGACTTCCCAGGGAAAGGGACACCCAGCAGAGGAAAGAGAGGAGGAGGAAGGCGAGGATGGGACACCCAGCAGAGGAAACCCGGGAGGAGGAAGGCAAGGATGCAGCTGGAACACCCAGCACCCCACTGAGGGGTGCAGAGCTCCCCTTTCCCCCCCCCCCCCAGCGCTCTGCGTGCCACGTTAGCAGCAGCTCCACAATGAGCCGTGGGTAATGTGACACTGTGAAGAGCCCTGACAGCTCGCTGGGGACCGTGAGGGGAAAAACAAAGTGAGCATTGAGGGCTGGGGAACGGCCCCGTGCCAAGGAAGTGACGTGCTGCCTCCTCCGCTGGCAACCCCGGGAGCCCTGTCTGCTGGAACCTGTTGGGAGATGGAGGGAAGAAAGGAAGAGAGGGAGGGAGAGAGGGGGTGAAAAAACAGCTTAAAAATATCCCAGAGCAGCACAGTTATTTTGGGATTTTTTTTTTTTCATTTATAAAAAGAGGAAGAAAAACAGAAATGAAAGCCAAGACCCCATGACCAGCCCTGGTGTAGATGAAATGTTTGTGTCTGGCTGTGCTCCCTCCCTCTCTCCCTCTGCTCTGATGCCTCTAAATTAAAATTATGGGCATTGTGGTGCCTCCAGCACATCCTTCTGTCACCTGGCAGAAGAGGTGGTGCTTCTGGACACCCCTTCCCTCTTACTCTGCTGCTCCTGAGGAGCAGCAGGAGAGCCCTTGCCAAGGGAAAAGATGGGAATGCCAGTGTGGGACGGAGGGAACAGAGCAAGAGTGGGGTGTTGTGTATTTTGGGGGGTCTCAGGCCCCCTGTGTGGGCGTGGGCAGCTCTCCCAGCTCAGCCTGGTCACCTCAGGCACCCGTGGCAGAGGGTCAGGAGCTGCCACCCCACGCCGGGTCAACACATCATCACCTCACATGCGGAGCTTCCCTCGCAGCAGGCGGGTCCCCCAGCTGCTGGCACGAGCCCTGGCACCCCAGGGAACCACCCTGGCATCCCAGGGAGCCACCTTGGCATCCCAGAGAACCACCCTGGGGTGGCACCATGTCAGTCCTCCACGCTCCTGCGAGGCATTCCCAGACCACATCACCAAACACACGTACACAAGTGACATTCCCAGGGCAAATGACATGCCCAGGACAAGTGACAGGCCCAGGACCAGCCAGTAATAAACTGTGGCAGAGGGACACAGCACACACACACACACAGGGAACAGCTGGAAGCAGGAGAGCTCCTTTCCCACGTGCCAAAGCACAGCATTATTCCCCAACCGCACCTACACTTTAGGATATCCCTGCAGTAGGTCCCACTGGGGTGTGGAGACCCTTGGGATCATCCAGGATCCAAGCCCTGATGTTCCAGTAACAGCAGCTGCTTTTCAGAATCAGGGGGAAAACCAGGAGCAGCCAGACGGCGACAAGGAGAAGATGGAGTTGCCTGGCCAGGACCCCACAGAGCTGGCAGCTCCTGGGAGCTGGAATTCCAGCTCTGTAGGCCCGGGATGGAACAGGATTGCTGCTCCAGGGCCAAATCCCACCCGGCTGCCCAGGGGCAGAGCACAGGGAGGAGCACACGGGGTGAGGGGCAGGCGGGGAAAAGGGTCAGTGTCCCCTGTGAACGCTGCTGGCTTGAGTTTGGGGGTGGGGAACAGGATCCCAGAAGGGTGAAGAGCCTTGGGATGCACCCACAGCCACCCTGGACGCTTGACCCCGAGGAGCCACGAGCCAAGTGTGAGTCACAGAGACTCCAGACCACTCTTGTGCTCAGCAGCATCCACCCACACGGCGCTGCTCCAGCTGGATGGACACCCCAGCCCCTTCCCACCCCGGCCCCTTCCACCCCACAGCTCCTTCTTCCAAAGGCCCAGGAGACCCCACCATTCCGGCAGGGTGCACATGTTCTCCCTCTCATTTTTTAGAACAAAAGGGCAATTGAGCTGAGCAGTCCCTGGGCCTGACCTGCCTTTCAACTCCAGCAAATTTTCCCTGGGCTTTGATTTTCCCCTCCTGGAGCTGCGGCTCAGCGGAGCAGCTGTGAACACCAAGAAGGGGAAAAGAAGTTTATTTTACTATATATTAAATAAAACAAAATCCGAAAGGAGAGCCGGGGGGATTCTGTTCCAAGGTCAGGCACTTGACTGCGGAAAGTTTTCCTGGACAGAAACACACTTGGAGCAGGGGAATGAGCCTGAGCTGTGTGGAGAAGTGATGGTGGCCTGCCTGGGGATGCCAGCCAGGAACAAAGCAGCCCTTCCCCTCCCTTCTGAGGCACCCAGGACATGCCTTTGGACTTACTCCTTCCTGCCAGAGGCTGTGTCAGGAAAAGTGGCACTTTCTGGGAAACCACATGTGAGTTGGACGAGTCACCCCCACAGAGCCATCTCCTGACTAACAGCTCTGATCCTGAGTCACTCCCCAGCTGCATCCCAGGCCACTTCCCTGCCACCACACGGGTCAGACCTCCCCAAGGCCAGTTGTGCTCCGGGAAAACCCTGCCTGGGCATCCCAAACTGGAGAAGAGGCTCTGGAAAGAGGCTTTGCAGCTGATAATGAAACACGGGGTGAACCCCAGGGCAGGGGGTTCCTGGGCAAGGCTTCCCTCAGAGGAACACCTGCTGCATTCCAGGGAAGGCAGCAGGGGATGGATATCACTCACCTGCACCCCCCCCTCAGGTGACAGGGCTCCCAAGGGAAGCTGCACTGCCTGCAGAGCCAGGGAAGGGATCCCTGCTGGATCCCAGGATCCCAGCAGCACAGTGTTCCCTTGGCCCTCACACCAACATCCCTGATAAACCCGCCAGGGAGCCCAGGTTAGACTGTCTCATTCCCAAGGAAACGAGCCAAGGGTTCCCACGCCACCTTCCCGCTGCTCCGCGCACAAAAGCAACACAGACTTCCTGAAATCCCTCTCTCCATGACCCTCCCTACTGTTCCTCTGCATCCTGCTCCAAGGCCACGCTCTGGGCCGAGATAACAAGGCACTTGCTGCCAAAACCAGCAGCCAGAGGGGCCCAGGATCCATGTGGATCTGCATTCCAAAGAAAAACCTGATCCCAGAGGACAGAAAGTGGGACTGGAGCCCTGTGGGGGTTTAGCTAATCCACCTCTAAGGCCAGCGTGGGATTTTTGGGAAGAGCTCAGGACGTGGGTGCCAA